GCGATGAACCTTTTCAGAGCAGCTAAGAAGGCTTCTGTAGATAAGCTTGTGACAACTTCAAGATGAACCGCCTTTACAACCAAACAGACAAACAGAGCTATCCAAGCTTTTTCATTCTTGCTCCCGCGTCCTCGTCCAATCTTTAACAGCATGGGACCAGCGTAGTCAACTCCGGTCTTARAGAAAGCTCTTTGGGGCTTGATCCGGTCTGTTGGCAATGCTCCCATTAACTGCTTAAGTTCTTGTGCTTTGTGTCTTCTACAAGTCACACATCTATGTACTATTCTTCTTATGACGTCACGTGCTCCCACTATCCAGTACTTTTGACGAACAGTTGCTAACAACAACTGAGGTCCTGCGTGCAGGTTCTTTAGGTGCTCATACTGAATGATTAATTCAGTAAGTCCATGCTTCTTTGGCAGCAGAATTGGATGCTTCTGATCATAGGGCAACGATGCAAGGTTTAATCTTCCTCCAACGCGTAGTACCTTGTGTTCATCCAAAAATGCGTTAAGAGATACAATCTTGCTTCGATTGCGAATGACCTTTCCTTTCATCAAACAGTCGATTTCAACAGCATATGCTTGATCTTGTGCTTCCTTGATCAACAGTGTTAAAGATCCCTTCAATTCTTCCTTGGTAAGTGGGCCAGCAGTAACCACCTTGTTGTGCTTTAAAAGCCACCGACGACACCAAGCTAACACACGGATAACCTTGACAAATGATGAGTAAGGTAGCAGGCTAAAAAKCATTCCTGTACTTGGCTTAACGACGTTGATCAAAGTTGTGGTGTTCTTCTTCTGCTCCATGCTAGATTCATTTGTAGCAAAGACGCTTGGCTGAGTGGGCCATGTATCCGDGTCTTTCAACCATATCGGTCCGTTGTACCACAAACTATGCGATAAGATTTCGGCAGGTTGGATTCCACGACTTGCACAATCTGCTGGATTTTCTGTAGAAGRACAATAGCTCCATTGTGATGGATTCACWAGCTCCTGAATCTCGCTAACTCTATTTCCGACGAATGTCTTCCATCTGCTTGGTTCTCCATGAATCCAACTTAGTGCCACCAATGAGTCAGTCCAGCAATATAGAAAAACCTTCAGGARGTAGAATGCCTTTTGAATTCTTGCAATCAGCCTTGCGAGTAGTACCGCACCACACAACTCCAGACGAGGAACAGAAATCCTTTTTAAGGRTGCAACCTTTGTCTTGGCAGAAATMAAATTAACGACTGCTTTGTCATTAACAGTTCTTGTGCACATATACACTGCCGCAGCATAAGGTGATTCAGATGCATCGCAGAATCCATGCAATTCGTATCTTGCAACTTTATCCTCCTTTGCAATGACACACCGAGGTAATTTCAACTCTTGCAGTCGCAATAACTCCGATCTCCAATTAGACCAAACTCGCATTATTTCAGCTGGTAGAGGATCATCCCATTTGATTCCTGATAACCACATCTGTTGAAACAAAATCTTAGCTATGACGAGCACTGGTGCCAATAGACCAAGAGGATCAAACACTTTAGATGCATCAGACAAAAATATGCGCTTGGTGATAGGACCAGGGCCAGATAGACCTTCCATAGGTTCGACTTTAAACAAGAATTCCATGGGCAGAAATGCCGGTCATCGTAACTGAGCATGCGCGAAACAAGATGGCGGCGGTACAGCAAAAAAACAACCGAGAGAAAGAAATAAAGGAGCAATAAAAAGCGTACTTGATCAGTTGTAGCATTTGTCCACGTCGATTCACTCCCAGTGTTATGTGACAATTCTTATGAAGTACATTTCATGCTACCATGATATGAAATTCAACGTCCAAACCTTACCGGTGAGTTTTGGAAATTACTCGCCTGTCTTTCCCAATACTGCACAAAGAAATAGTGAAGAATGGCAAAATTGTCATCGTATTTTGGTTGTCTTCTGTTAACTGAATCTGAATTGTCCACCCATACTTTCGAAGAACCTGTATTTGTAGACATTAATAGGTGATTAAAGTTCTATCGATAAAAGCTAACACCGTCCATTTTTCACATAAAAAATACTATTTTTCGAAAAATCTATTCCAGACAGAAAAGAATGTATTGAACATATGTTTACCTTGATCACTCGCGAGAAAAAACAATTTTTTTACCATATTTTTAGGACAAAATATGACATATTTGGTATCAAAACAAAGCTCGTAAACACTGCTTTCTACGGCCGATAAGATCTCTGGGATCGACTAAAAGTAGTACATTTGGTCAGCGTTTGAATGCGCTGCAATTTTACTTCCGGTAAAAGCGCGCGAAATTTGTAAGTTTGTTTATCATGGAGATCTGCACAAATGAAATTATTTCAAATGTCTTTAATGATATAGAAATTGACAACAAAGTTACTTTATCAACAAACCACAGCCATAGTTTCGTCAAAAAGAAAGATGTAAAAGAAGATACAATTGTTTTCACAATACAAGTAAATGTTTTATTTCTCAAGCTCTTGAATGAGCGCAAAGATAGCGATGTTTTGAAGAAATTTTCTTACGTACAAATTTTGAACGCACTTATTGAAAGATACCGGATAAAGTTAAAAGAATGCAGCAGGATAAACGAGAGATTTAGAGTTCTCTGCATTAAAGCCAAGAGGGCCAGCTGCAATACAAAGTCGGGCAGAAAGCGATCGAAACTCTTAAACAATGTAAAGAGCGTCGCAGTTCTGTACGATGAACTTGTAGATTTGCCAGGAGATCTGGAAAAAGCAATGCTTTGCTCAAAAGAAAACGAAGAACTTGAAAGGCGATGCGAGAATCTGTTTAACGAACTACAACAAGCTAAAAAGATTAACCGAGAAGAGGAAGATGACTATCAAAAAAAAACTCAAGAAAACAAGTATCTGAAAGATTACATCGAAAAAACCGGTTTGGCCATGGATCTTTGCAATACAGGAAAAACCGTGAGTGAGGTGAAAGAAAGACAAAAAAGGAGAAAGATTAAAGAACTGAAAAGTGGTGTGGAAAAGGCTCTTTGGTTTGCTGGCACGTATGGACTGAACCTGACCTCGGCAACATTTTCAGACGTGAATGGAAATGACTTTCCTCTCAGCTTCACCGATAACACAAAGGCAAAGTCTTACAAAAACCTCTCTGAGGAAGAAAAAAACAGAATTAAAGAAGTTCTTTTCATCCAAGATAAATTCTGTGTAGGTGAAGCAGCCTACCACGAGTTAACTATGAGTGAGGTAATTAGCATTAGTAAGTTGTAAGTACTATAATTACTACTATGCTAAGCATTTGATATGATGTAATAGTGAATGATTAATCAAAACGATGCTCAACGTTTCCATGGTTACAATTGTGTGCATTGTAAATAATTAATAAATAATGTGTATTTTTATCATTATTATTGCTAGGGTGGGGAAAGCCTGCCAAGATCATACTTGATTCGTCAATGTAAAGACTCAATGAATGAATTGTGTCACATTGAAAGGACACCTGGCATGGCAGAAGGTGCACAAGTTAACTTTAAAGATGAACTTAAAAAAGTTTTGACGAGTCTTGTAAGTAATGAAAGAAAACACAATAATGCATCTTAAGTGACATGACAAGTTTAAAGTGCTGATCTAGGTCCCTCTTGCCAAAGTACAAGAATAAATCTGTGGTGTAAATACAAAGACTACAAAACAAACAAACAAAATTTTTAATGAATTTAGCTGATTCTATTCTTTAATTTTTGGTCCATGAACATGTTGATTACAGATAAGTAACCGCAAAGAAGATGAAAACAATGAATCACAATCTAAAATAGGCAAGATAAAGGTGAAGCTGTCTGGAGATGGTGCCAAAATGACACGTGTGACCAGCTTTGTTATATTATCTTTCTCCATTTTGGATGACAAAGACTCAGTGATGTCTTCTAAAGGTATTTATTACAAAGTTTACTTCTCTATATATACTGCCAGTAATGATTCACACATTAAAATTTGATAGTAATATATTATAACTCCCACTCACTGCTAATATTTAACATAGCTGTTATTTAATAATATGCTTTATTAAGCCTTACCTACACATTTACTCAATTTTTTTTTTCTTTTTCAAGGTAACCACACAGTTGCTGTCATTAAGGGTGCTGAGTCCTACGAATTACTTGAGACCTCTTGTTCAGACATCTTTCAGGATGTAAACAAATTGATAAAGGAAAAGTATATCAAGATTGATGGCTGTGATGATCCTATTGAAATTGAGATATGCATGGGAGGAGACTATAAGGTAATAGAAATGAAATTATATTCACACAAATATTCACAGTGCTGTGTTATAGTTATTTTTATCATTTTAATCTTAATAATTCTCACAATGACAATGTTGTCTCTACAGTTCCTGCTATTGATTATGGGATTGAAGGGAGCCACCTCTGACTTTGCCTGCTTATGGTGCAAGATATTTAAAGCACTCAGGTAAATTAGCCTAAAAAAATATGTACTATGTATTAATTAGTCATTATAACGGTATAAAGAAAAACATCAATTTACATAATTATTCCAACACTATCATCATGAAATGTGTGTAAAATATTGATTTATTAATATTATATATAAAAACATCAAATATATACAAAATAAAGATACTGCAAAAACAATATTAGATATTGAAACTGACACATTGTCTTATAGATATGACATGTCTAAACCAATGGATTTCTACATAACTGATAAAGAGATGATAAGAACTCTAGAAGACATCAAGAAATGTGCCCTTAAGAATTCATATTCCTGTGAACATGTACCACTAGTAAACATACCACTTGAAAATATAGTTCTGGATGAACTCCACCTTATGCTTAGAGTAACTGGTGAGCAAACCTATATTATTAAATTAATAATGGATGACAGAAAAAAGCATAAAATTGATACTGTTTAAAAGAATTCACATATATTTGTATGTTTCATCTTTAGATAAGTTGACAAAGAATCTTATTTTGGAGGCTGTTAACAGAGATAACAAAGACAGCGTAGAGAAGACTCGAAGTAAAAACACTATGACTTACCTTGACAGTTTGGTGAAAACTATCTGTAGCTGTGGCATTTCATTCTCAGTGTGGGAGAAAAAAAATGCAGACGGCAAAGCGAGCGGTGTATATGACTTCACAAGTCTCATGGGCTCAGAGAAAAAAATCCTCCTTGAAAAGCTCCCTGAGAAGTTGTCTGGGGTGATTACTCCAGAAACATCTGATTCTGTTATTCAACTTTGGAAGGTATAAAATTAATTACATTTGAAACATGTCAATCTAATGATAATTATAATGCCAATGCATTAATGATATGTAACTTGATAGAGCATATCATTTTACATTGATGTTATTCATTGTCTCACTTTAGGATTTCAACAATATTTACTCACATTTACTACAGATGAAGTCTCCAACAGAAGATGAAATAGAGAAATATTTTTCAGAGGTCATTTTATTAAGACTGATACTGACTTAATTTCAACAAGCTAAATATTACTTAATTTATTTGAACAGGTCAAAGCTTGGGTGGATCTGTTTGTAAAACTTGGAAGTCAGTTGGAAGGGTATGGAAAGGCTAGAGTCACCACATACATACATGCAATGGCTTACCATGTTCCACAGTTTATGCGAAAACATGGTGGGGTAAAAAAATTTACTGGACAAGGTAATTGATCGATTCAATGACTGATTTATTGGTGGATGATTCTGGAACATATTGATTATATAGTCCATATATTATCTTTTGTTTTTATACTAAT